GAGAGATCTAAGATGGTTCAGTTTTCAGTTTCTGGTCTGCCCATGACTCTAACAAGTAATGTGTATGCTTTTTATCCCCTCGATAAAGAAAGATGAAGATTAGCATATCATATACTGAAAAATATTCACCAACATTAATATATTACAAATTTGTTTTTCTTCAACCAATTAATATGGGATAGCTTCAGTACCCATGGGTTCCATATCTGGGGATTCAACCAGTCACAGAGTGAAAAGATTTGTATTTGTACTAAACATATGCATATTTTCTTAGTATTCCCTAAACAATACAGATATAAAAATACAGCTGGGCACTGGTGGCTCAGGCCTGTAATCTTAGCTACTCATGAGGTTGAGATCTGGGGCTCAGGGTTCAGAGCCCAAGCAAGAAACACCATGAGACTCTTTTATTGCCAATTAACCACCAGAAAACCAGAAGTGGAGCAGTGGCCAAAGTGGTAGAGTGCGAGCCTTAAGCTAAGGAGCTTAGGTACGGTGCCCAGCCCCAAGTTCAAACCCCACAATCATCATCAACAAAAACAAAAATAATAATGAATTAATATATATATATATATATATATATACACATATATATATATGTAACATCAGATTGAATCAAAAGTAGTCAGAGATCATTTAAAGTATTTAGAAGATGTGCATAGTTTATATACAAAGATTGCACCATTTTATAAAACCATTTAGTGTGCAGAATTTGGAATGTGAGAGGTTCTGGGATCATTCTCATAGATGCTGGTGGATGATTGAATATTTCTCTAAACTACCCTATGATATGCTAATACAACAAATTAACCTACCTACTAAATAAACCTAAACATACTTTTGTTCCTCAGTGTATAACATATGCAATTACAGTAAAAAAATGTTTTAGTGTTTAAACAACATATGTAAGAGTTATTCTTTATATGCTTGTTTGCTCAAGCTGGCACTACCACTTGAGCCATATCTTTAGAAGACTTATCTACCCAGACTGATCTCCAACGCGATCCTTCAGATCTCAGCTTTCTAAGTAGCTAGGATTATAAGCATGAGACATGGGCACCTGGCTAAGAATTGTTATTTATAATTCATTATTTACTGAAACTAGGTGGAATAAACTACTTCATTAGGGCAAGGTACAACTTACAGCCACTAGACATTCTTCTACAAAAGGTGTCAAGACATGGGGGCGGATGGTGACCATGATGTCTCGGAAGTCAATGGCTGTGACTTTTCCAGTCTTGGCACTGTCCCGCTGCACAAAGGCTTGCTTTGCATGCTCCAACTGTATTTCCTATAAATACAGATTACAAAATCATTACTTTATGCCTCTTATTTGTTACTACAAATGACAAGCTAAAGAAATGTCTGCTACATCATGACTTAACATGCCCTTAGTTGCCTATTTAGTGGCATCCCCAAGCTACTGCTGCTGTCAAAAGGTACAGTCAGATCAGTGATCCACCTTGGATCCTGGGGTCAAAGAAACATTTTCTTGCTCTGCTAGAATCTGAAACACAAACAGAATGAAAACAGGAAACATTTAGTAGGTTTGAAGATCTCGCCAGATCCAGCAAAAAAGTGATGCAGAACAAAAGGAAATGCACACAGAACATTAGTCCCTCTCCAAAGATGAGCAATTCTTAACCACAAGCTGCTTTACATTAAACACATGATTAACAAGAATGAAAAGAGTGGTTCTCTGTGGGAAAATGTTATTTCTCTAACACAGATTTCTCAGCCTTGACATGACTGTCGTGAGACACTACCTTGTGCATCCCTCCCTCTCTTCCCACTAGATGCCAGTAGCTCCGCCCACCAAGGGATATGACAATCAAAAATTACTCCCAACATTGCCATCTGTCCTTACTGAGATGACCACTGCTCTGTGGTTATACTTTTATAATCCCACCTATGACCGTTTACTCCATTATTTTATTGAACGTATATATAATGTATCAGCATGAATGTAGCTTTCAATTGTTCAGTTTCCTGGAAATATATGCAAGTATAAAAGCTGGGCAGCTGGGCGCTGGTGGCTCATGCCTGTAATCCTAGCTACTCAGGAGGCTGAGATCTGAGGATTGCAGTTTAAAGCCAATCTCTGCAGAAAAAGTCTAGGAGATTCTTATTTCCAGTTAATCAGAAAAAAGCCAATGTAGAACTGTGGCTCAAGTGATAAAGTACTAGACTTAAAAGCAAAAATGCTAAGGTACAGCTACTAGGCCCTGAGTTCAAGCCCCAATATTGGCACCAAAAAAAAATAGTGCTTCATTTTAGTTCTGGCATCTATCAGTTTTGCTTGTTCCACACACAGTACTCAAACCTGGTCCCTCAAAGCTTAGTTATTGGCATATCGGTTTTCTGATCACTGGCTGCCATTCTTCTAGCTTCCTTTGCCCCAAGAGTAATCAAATTATATTCTTGAGGCCTGTGAAAATTCATTCAAATGCATCCTTTCCTTTTCCATCCTGATTCCAGAGGTTCAGGGCCTTCTTAGGCCTCACCTAAATTAGCACCATGGCCCAGCTGCAATGTGAAGCCTCCTCACTCTAGCCTCAGCAGTCTACCTTGAATGCAATAACCTCCTTTTTGACCTTTACCTCCTTCTGCAGACAGCTAATGGCCCTTCCTCACAGAAACCCATGTCCAAGGCTGAGCACTCAAATGCTTACAAGAGCGAGTCTTAGCATCATCTCTCATCAACCCATGCCCAGTCCTGCCAGACCCTCCCTACAGCTTGTAAATTCAACTGAGTGTCCTAACTGAAAATCAGTGTCCTGAGTTCATGTGTCCCTCTGCCTCTGTTCCTCAATTCTGAAACCTGTTATTCCATTGTACATCAGAATCAGAGCTGGCATTCTCACTTTTCTCTACCATGTACCAATTCTGTTTCTTCCACTTAGTCTGCTGAGGGAAATGCTTCAGGTATAGTCCAAACTAACACAATAGAAGTGACCACTGATGACAGGTAGTCAAAAAAATCAGGTATATGAACAAACCATAGTCTATTGAACAAAGCAAAAGTTCTCTATATGAATGCCTCCAATTCAAGAGGACAGAAGGAACCAACTTCTCAACAACCTATAGTCTGCATTCAATTGAAAGGAATGAACGGTCGCCTTCAAATTGCAAGACACACTGTTAATGCCAGTATTACTCTCCACAAAAGCAGAACGTATGTTCAATTGTTTACCATCTCCTCTAGTCATAGGGATCCTGGCATTACGTCCCTTCACTACTGTCTCCTCAGACTGCAGGAAGCCATCAGAACCTAATACCATTCTGGTGCAACAGATGCCAAAGGAATAGGGGAGGATTCTCGCACTATGGGGGATGCAGTTGTGACTGGTGGTGGTGGGTCATGCCTGTAATCCCATCTCCACGAGACAGATACTAGGAGAATAACAGTTTGAGGTTAGTCTAGACAACAATTAATGAGACCACCGTCTCAACCAATAAGCAAGTCATGTGGTGCACATCTGTTTGAATCTCAGCTATGCTGTAAGTAGGAAGATCATAACCCAGGTACAGTGCCAGGCAAATATAAGACGCTACTCAAACAATAACTAAAAGCAAAAAGGACTCAGGGCATGGTTTAAGAAATCGAGAGTACTTACCTACCATGTATAAGGCCTTGAGTTCAAATTCAAGTTCTACACCCTTCTTATTTGTTATTAACTATCAAAATTCTTTCAATTAGGCAGTTAAAAGGTTCTTCACACAGTGATCATCAACAATTTGCGAAGACACTTTTGGTAACTCCTGAAGATTGGAAACATGAAAATTCCATGCAGACAAGAAACCTGAGCTATATAGTTCTTTCAATAGTAGAAACACTAGGTGGTGAAATATTAGGTGGTACTCCACTTTAAGGTAGAGTACTGAAGGTAGGTTTTGTAATTGTCTGTGTCTGGCTATCTGTGTCTTGGCTGTTGCCACTATCCAAATACCTACCACTATGATCTGAATCCACCAGACACCAATCCAAACCACTTTCTCAATCCAAGAGACTCTTATCTCCAAATAACCAATAAAAAGTTAAAAAAATGGAGGTGTGGCTCAAGTGACAGAGTGCCAGCCTTGAGCAAAAAAGCTAAGTGAGAACATAAGACCCTGAGTTCAAGCCCCAGTGCTAGCACCAAAAAACAAAACAAAATAAAATGTTCTGTCCTTATTCACTTCTTTGTTCGCTCTCAGCCCCAAGAGACTGAGAAGGAGAAAGGTAGGTAGATTCCTATGGAAGAAACTGCATCAGTAACAGTGACTTACAAATGATGCTTTCAGCTCTACACAGTGGCACACTCCTGTAACCCAAGCACTCAAGAGGCAGATGCAGGAACACTGAGCTTGAGGCCAGCCTGGGCTAGATACCAAGTTCCAGATCAATCTATTACAGTAAAAGACACTACCTCAAATACCAAGGGCTGGGATGTATCTCCGTGGTAAAAATACCACTAACATAACATCAAGCCCTGGCTTCCATTCCTAGCCCTGCAGAGCGGGAAAAACAACAACAACAGCAAGAACAACATCAAATCCAAGTTCTCATGGGCACCTCTACAGTTGTTTGAAGAAAACCTAACAAATGTGCAGCGCTACCAAGACTGATAGTTCCAACATTTGAACCTAGAAGGGATAAAAGAGCTTTAACAATTGAAAGAGCTTTTAGTTTTAGTGTGCCTAGAATATAGCATATACAAAATAATGCCCTTTCCTAAGCAAAAAAGACCAGAAGGCATAAGCAAGTCATGGGGGCAAGGGGAGGATGTGAATAACAGCCGGAGGCACAATGGTTCTAACCACATATTCATGGTAGAAATCTATCAAGGATAAAGCCATTAGATTTTTTTTTTTTTTTAACAGTAAACCAGAGACTGAAATCAGGGCCTCACATTTGCTAAGCAGGTCCTCTACGACTTGAGTCATGCTTCTAGCCCTTTTCCATTGGTTATTTTAGAGATAGGGATTTGCTTTATGCCCAGGCTAGGTTGGAATGAGATCCTCCTATTTCTATTTCCTCTTATCACCGGGGATGATAGGTACATACCACTGAACCCACTCAAATCCTAAAATGTTCAGCCACTGGTTGAGATGGAGTCTCAGGAATGATCTTCGATCCCTACTTGGCCTAGAGGCCCAATTTCCAGATCTCCCCACCTGAAAGTAGCTAGGATTATAAGCTTGAGCCACTGCTATAGGCTTGGCTATTGACATTTCTTTAAAAAAAAATTGATGGACAAAATGTTTGAGTGAGGTTTTAGCACAATACACAGTAGTACTCAATCTATAAACAATTGAGCGATGCTCACTTGCAAAGTAGCAGTTGCCTGTCTGGCTGTAGCTAACCACACACAATTTTGCTTTAATAGATGGGTATGAAAGTACTGTGTGTGTGCCAGATCCAATAGTTTGAAAACCTGGAAGAAGAATGCAGGAACAATCTCAAAACTATGACCTGGGAGATATGGCCAGGTGATCTGAATGCATTTTAGGACCTAACCCTTCCTTCAAGAAACATGCACATTAAAGTCTGTTACACATGACCTTGAGACAAGGTCATGCATGATGGGCATTTAGTACGTGAGAGCTTTGATTTTTGCTGAGATGGAAGGTTTAAAATCCTCTAAAGTCCTTTGCAACATATGGAAGAGAGTTGTGAGTGATTCTAAAAGAGCCACAGAAAAAGAAGGATGGTGAAAATGGCAAATTGAAGGCTTACATATTTACTGTAGGCCAGAGGTTAGGCTAAGAATTTCAAGACAGTAATTCATTTAAAGCTTTAAAACCATATGAAGTAATATTTATTGCATTCACTTTACAGAGATACTGGAAGCTCAGGATGGTTAAGTAGCCCAAAGCCACATAGCTTAGGAGTTGCTAACCTGAGATCCATACCAAGAAACACCTGACTCCAAAACTGGGGTTCTCAAATGACTTATGATTCCCTTATTATAAAGGGGTCATAACAAAAGAATTTAAGAAGTGTTTGCGATGAGGGCTTGAATGCTGTAAAAATGAAGCAAGATAGAATATTCCCTGGTAATTGTCACCTTGGAGAACAGAAGGGATAGGAGAATCTACCATGAAGAAAAATAATTAAAGAGAGAGGGGAGTGGCAGGGAAGGTGGTTGACCAGAAAGAAAATCCTGGCATAAATGAATTTAAGTTATAAGCAAAAGTTACGCTGCTCTCTATAAAAGCTAGCTGGAGGTGTAGGTATTAATATTAATTTTGGCAATTAGACAACTGGGGTTTTCAGTGAAATACTTTTATCAAGTGTAGAGTGTATAC